TGATCTTGGTAGGCAACAAACGCAAGCACCTCATCAGAATGCACAGACTAACTCCAACTCTGCGAGTTTAGTCGTGGAACAGTTTCATCGTTACAAGCCCCCTACCTTTAACGGGATAGCTGACCCTTTGGCAGTCGAGGAATGGATAAGGGGTTTGGAACGGATCTTCAAGCATCTCTCCTATACTGTTGCCTAAAGTTTTTATGTGTAGAGTTCATTTTTATTGATGCAGCGGGCCACGGGTGGGAGTCTGTTTCACGCACTAGGACTGAGGTACAACAATGTAACCTCACTTGGGCACGTTTCAAAGAGGAGGTAATGTGAAATTATTTTCCACAAGCCTCGAGAGATTGTAAGGAGACAGAGTTTCTGTAATTTAAGCAAAGAAAGATGGCATTGGTCAATTATGAGAGGCAATTCGAACGACTTTCTAGATATGCTACACATCTATTGAATATAGAGCAAAAGAAAGCTAGAAGGTTCGAAAATGGTACTTGATTTATAACACTTATTTTTGAATGACTAATGGCGTAATATATGCCTCGTTAAAAACCTTATTTGGTCAAAATTTGATGGGTTAAAAATATGAAATGAATGAAGAATAGTAAAAAAAAAAATTGGAATAATAAAATATTGTATTTCTAAACCCTTGTTATGAAAATTAAATTGGACAAAATTTGAGCGAAAGAAAAAGAGTACAATTCCTCTCATTGATTTCAATTAATAAAAACTCTTGTATCTAGTCATACATATCTTGGGCACAAGTGTCTTCAATATACAATTTTGATGAAATATGTTTCATATTTTTTTTGTTAAGAGTTTTCGAGCAATTCGGCTAAAGTGATGCATCACTTCGACTACCTAAGTTTATGGCTTCAATTAGGCCACATAAGATAATGATGCGGAGTATTGGCCTCATTAGGCTTGTTCTCAACTAATAACACAATTAGCTTGCGAGTAGCGGCTCTAATGATGCCATTTTTGTAATACGTCGAGTCTTGATTGAGGAACACAACAAATAAGCAATCAATAAGTACATGGGAAGAAGGTGGTTCCTGGTCGAGTAAGCTTAGTTGCTCGTATAAGAAGTGTTCTTGTGCCACATCATGATGTTGCATTAGTACAAGATGGCGCGTGGCCACATCAACATATCTCATATGCTACAATAAGACTCCCTTCATGAAAAGAAAGAGATGCACAGTTACACAACAAATACACCTCTTATCGCTCGAGAGGAAATCATACACAACATGACACATCACCATCGTCAATCATCGAAAAACACAACTTCGCCATGAGATTCTTAATTCTAAACCATCATAATCAACACGATCATTAGTTACATTTTTAAAAAGCTTAAAAATCTCGTAATTTCCAACAATCACTTAGCACGGGAATGAGACCATCCTTGAACGAAGATAGATTTCTATATCGACCATAGACACTTGGTGTTTCGATAAAGATAGTTTGATGAACGAAGATATATTATATATCAATCAATACATTCTCGAGCCGAGTACGATCCCACACTGATTTCAACAATATTGTAATAAACAGTCCACAATATCAACATTATTAAGATGCTAAATGGAATTACTTATTCGTTTGCTTGTTTAGTGTGTGCTTGATTAGTGCTTATTTAGGATAACTTAAAAACAACTAAAAATTTGTGATTAAAGTCAACAATTAATGCAACCACACAATTCATAAATCCATAATTTTATCAATTTTTCAACCACATTTCATCAACAATTAATGCTAAAACTTTTATTAAAGAATAATGCTATTTATAATCAACGACGGCCAGTAATCATCACATGTGATAACTTGTTATTCGAGACATTAATGAATGACAAGTTAATGTCTCAAATAAGAAGTTGTCACATAGCATGACTACCAGTCATCTGACCATGAATAATATTATTCTTTTTTAAAAGCTCTATTAAACAGTCCCTTATTTTCTTTTTCTAATATTTTTCTTCATTTGCATAAAAATCTTTCTATGATTTATGACACGTGCAAAGTTATCCTTCATCAAATGCTACAACAATTGACAAACAATCATGTTGGGTATACATCATGGTGTAAATTAAGTGTTACACTTTGTCACGTTACAACACATCATTTGATAGTTTAAAAACAACACAATTTTTGGTCAAATCATTTGTTGACCAGTTAGATAATGTCAACAATGGTACATACAAAAAGGTGTACAAATGGCATTTCACATTTACAAATGTACCAAAAACAAGTTATCTTTGCCTGTCAAAAACACGTAAACAAGAAATTAGCATATAGATAATGTTTTATAATATACACGTAAAATACATACAATCAAATATCAAGATGAAATATGTGAATGAGCAGAACTAGTACTATATCTTCAAAGAATTTGCAATACACTGGTGCAAATTGATAGTTATGAAGTTGGTTCTATAAATCAGCATCAGCTATGGTTTTCTCAATGATGTAAATGCAAGCACCCACAGAGCTTCCCTTGGACATGGAATCTGCAAGCATCAATCGGGCTTTTTCATGACGACGCAAAATTAAGATGGTATTCAGTACAGCCCATCTTACTTGAGAATCAGCCTTCTTCTGGGTGAAACCCAAGCTCTTCAGTAACCTATCCAACTGCCAAGCAAATAAGTAAGACTTAGCAATTTACTTTACATGGTAGATAAACAGTTAAAAGGAAGTAAAATAATTGGGAAAATTGCAATGTTAAAAGTCTCCAACCTTTGACCGAGTTGTCAGTTGGTTTTCAATGTATGAAAAGGAACAAATCTATCCCTAACCTTTCAAAGTAGGTGCATGACCAGTCCCCATGGATGGTTTTGGTCCAATTTTCTTTTCGTTGAAAGTAGCATTATTTAATAAAAAATAGAAAAAGGAAAAAGCAAACATCCCATGGCCACTGTGTATCGCAGCCTCCTAGTGCCACTGCCACCTCCGCCATGGGCTTGTCTCTCTCTGTATGTAGGTGGGAGGGGAGGGCCTACGGTGTATGGCAGGAGACGGGGCTAGTCTAAGAGGGGGTGGCAAGACAAAGATTACAATATAGGGGTAGGTGGCTTGTGTAGCGTGTGGTGTCTAGAGATCATGCACAAATTCTTTTTCGTTCTTCTTTTCTTTTTCCTTTTCCATTTATTTCCTCTATTTGTTTGTAAAATTAATTGTGCTTTATCCATTTTACTCTCATAATATTGCATTATGCGCCATGCATATGTCATTTCAATTTTTAACAGGTCTCCTAGGAATTTGTCCACTGGGTCACTGGTGCAATGAATTAAAAGGTTGGGGACCAGTAGGTTGGCGACCAACTAGTACAACTATCCCACAATTTCTTAGATTACTACAAATGTAAAAGGAAGTATGCTTTCTCAAAAGGTGAAGCAAGATTCATGTCCCTAGCCCAGTTGCATACTGCCAAGAACGTGCCCTCATATAATTGGTGAATCTACTCTTGTACCATAATCTTTTGAACAGTAATCGAAAGATAAATGCCAGTCTTCAAATTTAACGATTTCTTCCCCGGTAACAGCCATACCTTCAGCAAGCTACACATTTGTATCTCAAACCCAGGTCAAATGCAGACTTCACTTCCAGTAAGGTCAGTCCTGTTTTCCGAAATACATCCTTGATAAATCTTAAGGGGGAAAATAGGATATTATCAATGACTAGGAGGAGCTGCACCTATGTGATGCCTAAGGCGTGCTAACTAAAGTCTATTGTTGCATATGCCTCTACTTGGGGTATTAAGGCGTGCTAACTAAAGTCTATTGTTGCATATGCCTCTACTTGGGGTATTAGCATATTTTCTAAATGTAAAATGGTTCAAAATGGTAATGTCAGCATAAATGTGCACAGAAGCTCGGAAGATTTGTGCAACATAAGAGTTTGACATTTTACCTTCATGAAACAACCTAGAAAATCCTAGAATTGGTTGACATCTAAAATCACATGGCTGAACTGTATAAAAAAAATTTTAAAAAAGCAGAGAGCAAAAAAACCGTGTTAATGTCTGCAAGACCTCCCTCTGCATAACCAAAAAGAAGATACTCCGTTGCCACACCTGCTAGTGCTATACATGTAAACCTGTTCAGCGTCTGAAAAAAAGCATTATCATCAGTATTTTCCAGTTCTCATTAAAAAATAACGTAATAATTGAAATAATAATACACAGGGAAAAAGTTTTAACATACCGTGGCAGATACTGTCCCTTTGCTTACCTGCATTAAAAGAATAGAGCCTTCATCAAACGATATAATGTCAGCCTCATGAGTGCAGCATATGCAGGGATACCATTCCTGCACCATTCTGTCATTTGTATGTTTGAAATCATTTACATTTTTCTCTGGTTAATAATCATTGGTGGGCACATTTATATTTGGATCTCATTCAGATCATAATTTATGCAGACAATAATCATTAAAACATCTTCTCAAAATTCTTATCTTTTTACATATTTCAGATCATATTTGATGGGAATAGCTTAATTTCCAAGAAATTTTATTTGAAGAGTTGTTATTTATTTCTAACTGTTGAGATTAACTTCTAAAGTTTCTCTTCCCAGATTCTGTTCGTATTAGTGTTAAAGTTGACATATACTATGTTACTATGATGCGAGACCTTTCTTTGATCTAGAATTTGAATATGTTAATACATTGAATATTATCTCACAAAATTATAAATATATATTCTTTTTTCCTTTATTTTTTTTATATTTCCAAATAGGCACTGTAAGTAAAGGCGTGAATTCCATAAACCATGAACGACATAAAATAGTAACAGCATTACTTGCAGATGAAACACTCAAAGCAGCAAAATTGCTAAGCAAGAGGAAACCTCACAATATCTACAATCAAAACATGAAGGGGAGAAGATACAATACAAACTGAACTTAGAAGGGCACCAGTTCAGCCCCCAAGTCCCATATAACAATGGCAAAAACACTAGAGGAAACACAAATAAGTGCAGAATAGGTGGAAAGAACAGTAAAAATTGTTACAAGAAACCTACTTCCTCGAGAAACTCAAAATCCACAAAAGCAGTACCGGCTTGAACATTGAGCAATCCTTCCTTTTTAAAAGCTTCCAAGCTGGTTAGTGTATATCCCCTTGGCAGGATTCCAAGCAAGTATGCAATCAAGAAATGTCCAGCCTCGTGCTAGGTCATATGTGGATAACAATCAAGAAGTGATGCTAGCTTATAAAAATGGAAGGAAATCTATTGCCCAAAAATGTTTGTCAATGAAAATTGCATGAACATGAAAAGTAGGGGTAGAGAGATGAATCTTACTTGGACAACCCTATTATGGTACTTTTGGCTGATTGAATGGCCTATTGTATCAAGAACCAAGAAACTGACTCCTCCATTGAAAGACACCTATGCATGAACACTTTGAAGCAAATAGTAAATTATATAAAGACCATATTAGCGTAGAGGAACCAAACTGAGCTAAACATATGCATGGTTCAAAAGAAGTTAGTGCAACAGTAAGTATAAGAAGATTTCAGTAACTTTGAAGGAAAATACAATATCTGGTTGAACCTATGCAAATTCATATCTACAACTGTGCATATCATATTGAGATCAAAATTAGCAATCCCTATCTAAAGGCAAGGTATGTTGCTACTAGCTAATCAACTCCATAGAGTTGCTCAACAGTCATGGAAGTTTTGTATTGTTGGGCAGGCATGATGATCAAGTTGCAAACAGGCTCTAATATTTTGGATTTGGTTGTCTACTCTCATATGAAATGCATGAATCCAATGCATCTTTGTTGCTTGTCCCAATTCTTAGGTTCTTCATATTTCCCCCTAAAAATTTACTCTTTAACTTCTTGAAGAGTCCAAAAGGCAGACAGTATAAACTCCACTCTATTTAAATGCTCAAAGTGCACTGAAATGATAACACTGCCCTGGGTTTAGAATAAAATGCAGAAAAATTAAGTGTGTTCATCAAAGTGCGGCGGATATTATACTCAAAATACAGAACTTCCATACATTTTATAATACAGCCAATGCTTTGATTGCTAATGTTCACTAAGTTAATAGTCTTCAATTATTAAAAAAAGAATGAAATTAATAATTCTAATACCAAAGGATTAGTACCATTCAAGCAAAATTTATAAAATTAAATATGAGAATGAAACTTCACTACAATCTAGTCATTTAATAAATGCCTTTGTGTAGTTTGTGCGTATATGGTTTTGGTGTATTATAGGTTGCAAGAAAACAAGGAAAAAAATGTGTACTCTAGATCCTAATGCTTTTAGTCACTTAAAAATTTGTGAATAGAGTCTCTTCATAAGTAATAGCCATTTGAGCTGCAAGGTCTTTTCTTTCACATTTTCATTATTTTCATCTTCCATCTATGAATTTTTCATTTGATAAAGATTAATAAAAGAGAAAAAAACATTGAAGATAATCCTGAAAGATATGTATATTTGTCCAAGTCATAAAAATACACAAACTGTTAACCGTCAAACGGGTACTTCCAAATACCTCTATTCTCGAGATCCATACATCCCTATAAAGATACTCTTTCATAAGGTTAGTTCATATCATAGAGGATCCTTTTCCCCTTTCACCTTTTGAGTGAACTGTTGGAATAGGTAACGGTGTATTGGGATTCGTACATGTTCGGAGAGAGTGAAGGCTAGTTACTATTCAGTCTTGAACCCATGCTTACAACTTCACAATGGAGCACTATGGTCAATCTTTGGCCTCTCATCAATGAGATTCCTTGGCAGTATTATTATCTTCCACAGTTCCACCTACTATTTTTAGGAATATTATTTGACCAGAGTTTTGTATTAGCTTATTAAAACTTAGGATGGTAAGTCCTTTCATTTCCACTGAGGCAAACCTCAACAGAAAGTGCAGAAGAAATGAGTGGTAGGAAGGAGATAAGAAAGAGATAAGAAAGAGATTGAACATTGATGTTTGTAGCTCTATATGCTGAATCATCAGTGGCAAGTCAAAACGTTTCAAGGGACAATTTCCAAAACTGCCAGTGTTTCTAAATTGCGTACATTAATTTGAGGTTTCTCATAGTTGTTTCAATGGAAAGTGGAATTCTAAAATTGTTGGACACCAATTGGCCAAGCTAGGCTAAGAATCACAGTAATTCGAATTAACACTCACTGCATAGACTGCTAATATTTAGCCGTCAGAAGAAAAGAATAAAAGAATAGTTAGGGATAATGCGGAAGAAATACATAAAGGATAGCAAATGATGCATACACATTTACTCGGTCTATTCAATCATTCAACTCATTATCAGATCACCCCATGCATATACGAGTAAAACGTTGTTGGGTGATGGTTTGAACTTGATCCTACAAGTATATGGCTTCCTGGAGTTATTTGTAGCACTTTGTTGCATACTTGCATCAAGACATCATCATTTTCATCCCACTTTGTCATTCTTCTGTACTACCTTAAAGACACGTTTTTCTGGATATCTTTCTCTATCCAAAGTTGCAAATTTCATGGTGCATATTTTTCATTTCGAAGGAGGGGATGAAAGTGTTTTTCCTGTAAGAGACGTCATGATTTTCATTTGATCTCTTTGGTCTAAAAACAAGATTGGAATGTTATCCGTTCTGTGCTATATTTTCATTTCCCACATGGGATTGACAATATAAGCTTGCAGCAGGTACTGATAAAGACCATTCTCTTCAATCTTTCAAAGGCTAGTTTGAAGAAGTAGGTTGGGTAGGAAAAGTAAGAATATGGAATTATGTTAAATGCCTCTCGATTTGGGACATGTGGCTAGGCAAATAACTAAAGCCCAAGCTGTACTCCTAACAGTAACTTGGTTGAAATCACAGAAAGACTACTTGAAAGAAATTAATATTCCTAGAAGCAGGCCATAGGAAAAAGTAAGGCAAGAAAGTTCCATTTGAACAAGACTATTTAATTTGAAATCTTCCTTTCAAGAAAAATAAAAATAGTATTTTTTGTCAAATAACCAATAGTGTGATAGCTTTGTCGATTCCTACATCTTAGAGGATCGGTTAGAATTTTAAAGGCAGTGAAACATAGTTTAGATATGTGTACCGCATCTAAGGTCCACATGAACAACAATCCGAGGGACAAAAATAGGATTTGTTGTGGACTTAATCCAAAAACATTCCACACAGCTATTCCTCCCAAGAGAACAGCAATCTGCAAGTTTCTCTCTATAGAACCCAGTGTAGTATCTACTGGTGCTAGAAGAGATGCAGTTTCTATTCCATTCAGTCTCAGCTCATCCAAACTGTAAAGCCTCTGGGGTATCTGCAAATAGTCTATTATATAAATCAAGTAGAAGCAAAAATTTAATTGGGGCGATCTTTACATGAGAATTGATATCTTGTTGACTTCAATAAATGACATTTCAAAACACAAGGAAGAAATTGAGAAGCAGAAAATGAGCATGATTGACAAGTGTTTATAAACAGTTTAATAAGTGATGGATAAGTGGACAATACACCTTGATAAAAAGTAGCTTGAGTCTATATAAATCGTTTATAAACATGAGCCAAACATAGATAAAAGAGAAACATGTTTTGGAAGATCGTCATTCCTTGACAACGAGATAGATATTTCATCATATTCTTCAAACAATCATGACACTTGCATTAGAGAAGGGACACATTTATATTTAAATGCATTCTTCAAAAATCCCTTTCACATGCAGGTCTGTGTTCATTTTTCATCCAGTAACTTACATGCCCACGATTTTCATAAACAGGAAAACGTTCAGACTTGAACTCAAGACATCTGTAAGCTTATTATATCTTAAACCACTTCATCTACAAGTCACAACGTTAAATTGTTTATCTAAATTAAGTCTTCATCCAACTCGAAAATCTAGAATTGAACCATATCACTTTCCAAACACGACTAGTGCTACAACTAGAAACCATCACAATCTGTGCATTGGACAAGCACAAAAACCTTCAAAAAGCAGTTTACAATTCAGACAAATACACGCAAGAAAGAATTGGATTACTTCACAAATAAGAAGGGAATAAGCAATAATAATAATAATAATAATAATAATAATAATAATAATTAAGGGCCAATTGCATGAACCTGGCGAGCGGCGCCAAAGCATCGGAGACCGCCGGGCTTGCCTTGTAAATCCTTAACAAGATTCAATGCTGCCCTGTCATCTCCCTTGCTCAATTCCTTGTCCAATTGCTCCAAAACTTTCCACCTCGAGCTCAACCCAACACCGCTTCCTCCTCCGCCACCACTAATTGGCGGCTCGAATGCAGCGCTTACTACCCTAGAATGGCGGGAAAATATTACTCCATTACAACACATAATAATACCACTCCCCATTGAAAATTCAACTGAATGCACTACATAAATAATACAAAAAAATGTGGGGTTTTTTCTCTTATATATTGATTTTGCTTTTGCTTGCAAAGTTCATGCCGAAACATTGAGGTTCACAGAATCACAGCCATACTCCACGGGACAAGATAATGGATAATATCAAAATATCAAAATGCCGTCGTTTTGTGATAGGGTTAAATTTGTATTTCTATTTATTTATTTATTTTAACCAGACCCTTCTATTTCCTTTCTTTTCTATTAGTAAAAATAAATAAAATAATAAATATATTTTGATCCCGAAATTTATGATCATAAGTGGAAATTAAACGAACCGAAGTAACAAGAAATTTTTTGGGAGAGTTCATAGTGTCATATTTTTGTATCGTATTTAGGTGTTTAGATCATTTGTTTTTTTAAACAAAGAATAAATTGTCGAAAATTGTTCAACTTTCTGTCAAATATTCACTTAAAAAGCTTTCTTTAATTTATTGTGCCAACCCATAACCTAAATTCTCTATTCTTCAAATGAGCATTTATTTAAAAAAAATAAAAATGAATGTTTCCAATCGAGGAAATAATTTAAATTATTGAGTCAACTAATGAAAAAGGTTTTTAATTTGATTCAGAATTCAGAGTCACTCTATATGTCACAGTTTGTTAGAGATTAAAATTTTGATTTTAATTTAAGTTAAAATTAATAATTAATTTTAATTACATATTATGCCTCTGTTTGATATCCATTCTTTTTTTCATTCTCATTCTTCTACTAATTTTCAACCACACATTCATCAATAAAATAATATTTTCCATCACATCAATAACTTTTCCTTCATTTTCAACCACAAAAAAAGTGTGATTTGACACAAAGAANTGTAGTGTTTTATAGAGTAGAAAGTTTTAAAATCACTTAGGATAACTTGAAAAATATCCTATTTTTAATTCCATACAAATTTATAAAAAAAAAATCCCAATTGTAAGACTCGTAATTTATAAATACTTAAAAGCACTATCAAGTAAGCACTTAAAAGTTCGATGGTGAAGATGACACTAATTGGAAAGTTGGGTGGCTAATAGTGAAATTATAACCCAATAAAACACTGTTTTATCATTTATGTCTTTTGAGTGAAAACTCTCTCAGACCATGGGCCCATCCCTGGGTTTCACTTCTGGAGGCCCAAATTGGAATGAAGAGAAGACACAGCACCACCAATGTAAATAGAGACACACGAGAGGCCCAAAAGAAAGCTCTTGGGCTGGAAAAAGAAAATGGTTGTGTGAGTTTTAGATATTTACGTCGATTTAGTTTAGCTAAAAATCATATTTTTAGTAAATTTTGATAAAATATGATGAAATTTATGGATAAAAAGTTGATACATGTTATAGATCTCGAGAAAAATGTATGATTAAAAATGATTTGAGTTTTAGAAAATGAAGACCAAATAAGGCTTTATTTCAGTTTTGTTCTGGATTTTTGGCATGAAACCTTAAACATGTTACAATTGTTGGGTATTTTACGTTGTGACGGGGTTCGTGATATTCATTTTGAATGGGCCCTAAAATAATCTTAGAGGGTATTTGGTGGAGATTAAAATTTGATTTTTAGTAGAATGTGAAATGTGTGGTTGAAAAGTTGTGGGACCCATGAAAGATGTGGTTAATATTAATTGTTTGACTTTAATTTGGATTAAAATTAGATTTTAATCCGGACCAAACATGGGCTTAATCCTTCAATTAGATTAATTTAACTGTATAGATCTAACTAATGAAACAAAATAATTAAAAAGAGACTAAAAATCCATCATCTTCTTCACCTCCACCACCGCCTCCTTAATCAAGGGAAGGGGGAAGATCCTCTTGAATTATTAGAGGAAAATCACTCCCTGTTAAACCGGCAAACAAGGGAGGAGAAATTCTCCCCCACCCCCCCAACCCGGCGAATTAAGGGGATTATATGCCGACTTTGCTAATGCAATTTCGGGTGGATTTCTCCTCTCATTCGTTGAAGAAATGCCCATTGATTATTAAGGAGGTGGCAACATGATGAAGATGATTTAGGTTTTTTTAAAAAAAACAATTAATTAATTATAAGCACACATTTAATCGGATCCACAACTTTTAAACTACTTATTTCTTTAGGGTAAATATATCGCACCACAATTTTTGTTTCTTGTACCACGTTTTAATTGCATTTAAGATTTTTAATCTTTGCTCATTATAACACTTATGCTCCTGAAGGTTTTCGTGTCATTCTTATCCTCATACTTTCTATTTGTTAACACATTTTGTATTTGATAACAATTTTATGTACAAAAGCCAGTTGAAATAGTCTGAAACAACATTATTTTAATATAACGCGGTGTTACTTGTTCAATAATATATTTGCTACTGTGTTGCTTATTTTTTATTGTAGAGTAACACACATGTTACGTATACTACCTAGTGTTCTCGAATTCATCTGTGGTTCCACTGTTTCAACAAAATCCCACACCAAAACTCTGATCTGCTACTAAAACTCCACCGCCAATAACAAGTAAAACAATCAAAATCAAGCACACCTCCATGGAAAAATCACTGTCGAATTTGAAAATGGAAAAATCGGTCTCGAGACAAAACGAAGGAATTTCATGTTTAGAGATTAAATTACAACATTTCATATATGAAATTTCGGTTTTGGGATGGGTGTAGGGAACTAATTTCAAATCTAAATGCAAAAACATGTTCTCCGCCATCAACCTCTTGTTCAGAACTATGGAGTCCCTGAAGTTTGACAAGTAGACTTAACCTTCGTCAAAGAAGATAGATTCCAAAGCAAAAATCTTCGTAACATTTATCATCCAGAGTTTCATTCCAAATCTGGTGGTCGATAGAGAAGGTAGTGGTTGAGGTACACGATGGTGGATATGGAACACGATAATCTATGTTGGTCAATTAAAATTGTCGTGTCATTTGAACGATAAATCTACAAATATTCAAAAAGTAAAGATAATATAGTTTATGTTTTAATTTTATCTTCATATGCTTAGTCACTTGACATCGACTTGATAATTAAACTCAACGACATTTTTTGTTATTTCATTTTAATGTTATGTTTAACTTATATGTTTGTTACAAAGTATTGAATTTTCTCAAACGCTAACCTTTACTATTCACTATTATTAATTATTTTGTATGTTCATACCAATGTCACGCTGGCCTTTTATAAGGATGAGCCGACAGTCTTTCAAATTGGTTCAAATCCAATTTTCAAGGTTTAGTCAGACGAGAGAGGATAGGTGTACCGGCGGTGGGTGACAAACACCCTGACCGGCCCCTCACATTAGAGGGGGGCCCACATTTTTTTTTTCAATTTTTTGTTTACGTGGGGCTAGCTATCATCTGAGAGTGTCAATTTTTTTGTCAAATTTTTTTTGTACAAGTAGGTTTTTTCTAATTGGATATATACTTTAAAAAGTACGGTTTGATTTGTTAATGAGAATTGACATTTGTTACAACTCACAAGTAGTTATATTCTCAAGATTCTTTCATTGTTTAAATTTTGACTAAAAGGACTTATCGTTCAAACCAGAATTAGAAATGAAATTCAAATTAATTTTTTTAAAAAGTCAAATATTATAGGCATTACATTATTATTATAATTACGAAGCGTTTACTTGCTAACCTCTTTTATAAAACTCATTAATTTTATGCACCCGATCTAAACTTTAGACAATTAAGAGCTCGTTTGACAAGACTTGTAGAAGAACTTTTTGAGTAAGTAATTTTAGATTCGATTTCTTTTAAAATAAATCTTCTAATCATAAGAATCACGTTCAAGAAATTATTTAAATATGACTGAAAACACTTTCTTAGTCCCTGTTTGATAATCATTATTTCAATTTTTTTTTTACATATTTATTTTCAACCACACATTCACACTATAAAATAATTTGCACGTAAATTCAATTTTTTTTTTTTTTTTAACTTTTTAACCACACATTTTCCAAAAAAATTATTATTCAAAACATTGCTTTTCAAAAACAATGACTATCAAACATGAGCTTAGTTTCAGGAAGTAACTTCTAAATTTTTTAAAAGTAAATGAGCCTAAAACGTACCCGACATGTTCCATGCATAATATTGAGTTACTCACAATATCAAACAATATTGTATTAAAAAAAATTGAATTTTTTATTTATATAATTAAAATTTCAATTATTTTTACTTATCAAGCATTTTACTTTTTGGGTAATTTGTATAAATGGGTTCAAACTGAGAAACGCAAGATTCGACCTTACTACACTTAGAGGGAGGGGGTGATTAGGTGTAAATGCGGAATTAAAATTTAATTAACATGCAACAAGAGTTAATTATGTCTAGATGGTTAAACAAACAGTCTCATTATCTTAAGTTGAATTGTCACAGTTTATAATATGGAAAGCAATAAATAACACCAATATGATGACAAAGAAACCCCAATTGGGTAAAAACTCCGGGACTGAGTCAGTTACCTCCACTATAGACAATGTGGGTTATAGTTCAATTCCAAACTAGTTCCACTAGCTGTTGTAAACCCAACAACTCCAAGATCTGCTACTCATTCCAGC